GCGTCTACATAAACAGTGTTACTACAATCACATTCCAATAATAGTTCTACCTCCAATCAAAACTGTTAGGCAGTCCTACACTACGAGCATCTCGAGCAAAGTAGTCCATTTTATCGACATCAATACCAGTAAAACCATTAGCAACAATCTATGTAGTAATATATAGCATTCAAAATAATAGGATGGTAAATATATACTTCAAATAAATAAGATTTTTCTTCACCAAATACATCTACAAGTTTTCGAATTTCTTCTTTTCTTTTGCTGATAGCCTTTGGAAGCTTCTTGCAATCCTAATAATGACATAGTCACAATAATTATCATAATAATCAATCACAATAGTATTGTACTTTGTCAAATGTAATAATTCTTTTTACTAGCTTAAAGTACTCTTCATCAGAAGTAAAAGCTTCAACGCTGCCTTTAAATTTTCTTAATTCCTTTATCAAATTAGAGTTCATCATATTTTTAATGATTTCAGCTGATCTGTACTCATGGGGTGACAACTCCTTTAAAATGAAAGTTCAATATTAAACCGTAATTAATATTTGATACTGTACATTTTTTTTCTCATCATCACTTAATTTTTCCTCAACAGCAAAATCATAAAGGTGAGAAAATGACCCATGCCCTGTTGAATGAGACATTTATACATTTTTATTATGCACATATACTGGGATACTAACCAATGTCATGACATAGTGCAGCAATTTGTATGCATATTTTTTCTTCTTTTGTGATCCACAGCCTCTTATCAGTTTTAGTAGGCCTAGGGTGCTCGTTCAGTGCATCAACCAGTTTACCAGCAATATAACAAACACTATACACATAAATCATACAAATTTTAATGTTAAGAGTATTTTGTTATTCATTACCCAATGGAGTGCTCAAATCTTGTGTGAACACCACCAGGATACACATAATATACTCCAGCTAAAATCATACATGATTCAGTACTAGTAGTATTTTGATAGTTTAGACTCACCAAATTGTTTGATCTTCCTCAGTCTCTGGAACTCTGGTCTATCAATAATCTTAAACAAATATTTATCAAGTTGTATGGATCCATGAACAGGATCCATTATTGTACCAAACTCTACTGGTGGATCTAACTCTGGTTCAGACCGTACTGGTGGTCCAGTAGCCATCCTTCTCTTGGCACAAGAAGCTACTGTATAAGCTGACCGGATACATTTACTCTATCACAACAGTGAATCCTTATAAGGAGATGTTATGAGTAAACTGAGGCTGTTTGAATTTCAAATTACAAACAACACATACAAATGGAGTAGAGTGATGTTAACGCACATTATCATGTAAAGGTCAATAGAACCAGGTATACCTTTACATGTATATATCAGTATGCATGCAGTGATTGCAGCTACAGTAACAAAAGAATGCAAAGTTACTTCAAATGAAAATTACAAAAAATTAATGAGTCATTACACTACCCTTTTATTACTATAATTATTTAAAATATGAACAGCAAAACTTGCAACCATTGAAATTTGAATTGAGTTCATTTGGGCCTATATCTATAACAAGATTACATATATTATTTATATCATTTACTATATACCTTTTAATGACTCTTTTAAAATCTCTCAAATCTTTATCTGTTGTATATTCTTCTTGTTCTTCGTGTAATTTTCTTTTTCTGGTATAACTTCCTTCCAAAGCACTTTTTAATTCAGTTGGAAGTTTATCTGTGTTTAAACACTCCCACACAATTGCCTTAGTTTCATCACCATGATCATCTTTCATATCATAATACCAAAACACTTCCTCTTCTTCAAAATCAGATGGAAGGATCTTGGATACCTTTATTAAAAGAATGATCATCTTTTGCATATAATAATCTCACTTACCTCTTCTTTTGGAATGCGAAAAGGATGCTGAGGATAAAACTTCCCATAAAAGAAATGAGATTCAATGGGATCTTTACTTCCCTTTCCATAACTGAATTTCACAGTCTATACAATAAAAAGTTATCATACACATGTAACATTTGAAGATTCATCAGTGTTATGCCTTACTAGTGGCTTAAGTCTCTTTTCAATTGTTTTAATTTCTGATTTTGTGTCAGCAGTACATATTGCAATGTCTTTACGTTTTGATTCTATATCATCATCATGCTTTGCCTTTTTTGTACGTCCCAAAAATTTTGGTAATTTTCTGTCCTTTATTCTACTAAAATGTCTCTGAAAGCCAGCAAAATGTTACAAAACAAAAAAAATTGGCTTACTCTAGGACTTTCACTAGTGATTCTAGCTTTCTTTATATGCTAATTGCATGTGAAAATTGAAATAAAATGAAAAGAAATTAAATTACTAGCTGTTGAGACTGCATAGGCTTTGCTGTAATCACTTGTATTTCCTTCATTATCAAATCTTCAATTGAATCATCAATCAAGTGAAATGCATCCATGTTTTGCCAGCATTTTATAAGTGGGTAAGATCTTTGTCCTACTTTAACTTGGATGGTGGCTTCTTTTAAAGCACTCTTGATTCTATTATTAAGCATAAATATATACATAATAACAAAATATTATTTCTTACAAATCTTCGACTATAACTACAGTCTTATGCTTGTACACAGAACGATAAAGAACATTCCTTGTGTGAAACAGTTCATAGAGTGATGAGACATCCTATAAATTGCATGCTATATAATATATTGCTTCTAGTTGAATTAAATTAACTTTATCTCTTGAGCATATATGGTGAAAGCCATCCTCACACTTAATAATTTTGGCTGTTTGAGTGAAGCGTCTATATAAACAGAGTGCATACATAATTACTATGATTTACATTCCAACAATTTATAAATAGATTTACCTCCAGTCAAAACTATTAGGTAGTCCTATACTACGAGCATCCCGAGCAAAGTAGTCCATTTTATCAACATCAATACCAGTGAATTCATTAGCAACAATCTATTAATGGATAAATGATTGAAAAAGGCTGCAATAATAACTAAATTTCTTACTTCAAAAAGAAATGCTTTTTGCTTATAGGTTTTTCTGCTAGGTAGTGTTTCTTCAGCATTGTCAAAACCTTGCTAATTGTAATATTACATGATATGCCGAACAATAATTCCTCATTAAAACATGTACCTCTGAAAAAGTAATCATGTCTTGAATAAGTTTGATGTAACGACTCTTGTCTTTTTCAAACCTTTTATCGAATGTCAGCTCCTCCATCATGCGTTCCACAATAAGAGCAGATCTATATTCGTGTTTTGCTTTCTGTGTATTTATCATGAATGAACATCCAAGTATAATAATAATTTACTTTTGGTAATTCTTCTTTCTCCACATAGCTATCCACTTTCTCATTGTCACCATATTCATCTTCTTTTGATGTTATAAACTCTTTCATTTTCTGCTTTGATTTCAATTTTTTGTAATATTCTTTGACAGCAATATCATAAACATGAGAGAAAGGTCCATGCCCTAAGTATAAAATGAATCTAAACAAGACAATGTGTTGATACATACCAATATCATGACACAATGCAGCAATCTGTACACACATCTTCTCTTCTTGTGTGAACCATTCATGTAACTTTTCCTCCTCTGGAGGACAGTGCTTGTTCAGTGCCTCGACCAGTTGACCAGCAATATAGCAAACACTGCATGCGATTAGAAAGTACAAAATAATATGTATTATTCATTACCCAATAGAATGCTCAAATCTTGTGTGAACACCACCAGGATACACATAATATACTCCGCCTAAAATCATGCATGATTCAGTACCAACTAGTATATTACAGTTCAGACTCACCAAATTGCTTGATCTTCCTCAGTCTCTGGAATTCTGGTCTATCAATAATCTTAAACAAATATTTATCAAGTTGTATGGATCCATGGACAGGATCCATTATTGTAACAAACTCTGGTGGATCTAACTCTGGTTCAGACTGTACTTGTGGTGTAGCCATCCTTGCTATATAGTGCTTTCTTGGCACAAGAGGATGAAGTACACTACGCACTTAATGATTAACTCAACACATTGATTTATAATGTATTACTATCATAACAAACCTCCTTATATGGATATGTTCTAAATATAAACAAACCACTAAATACATACAATCACATGTACATGTATTAAGGCAGATATACTGTACTCTAGGCTAGTGTACTGTCAATTTTAAATTAGAAGCATGGGCAATTTGACTTCTTGATGCATGCATGATCACATAGGCATGCAGTAAATAGTTGAACCAAATTCAACTCTAACCCCAACATAACATTAGACTATTATAGCATACAATTTACAATGTCACAAAAGATAGACTCACAGTCACTAGACCGTAATAAAATGCGATTTTGCCTTGCCACCGAGATGAGTTGGAAAATAAAATAATTCTAATTAATAATAGTTATTAAGTAATAGATGAGCTATTAATTAATCGTTGCTTTCGTGTCACTCCATACACAAACGTTAATCCACAGCTGCTCCATATAACGGACTATATGTACCAGCTGGTGAGTAGTGATGTTGAATTGATGCATTTAATAAGATATGATATCCTTTCTCTCTGGATGAGTAATAAATTATTCGTGTGTGTTTCTCATTTCAACAGGAACAACCTGAGCTCGAGTGTCCGGATTTTCTGTTTAATTTGACCGTACTGAGTTTTAAATCGATATTTAATTTATCTAATGGTATAGTATCAGCTAAAGAGAGAGAGAGAGAGGGAGGGAGGGAGAGAGAGAGAGAAATTAAATACATGTATAATGTATTTATAAATCTATAGTTTCTATAAATTAATACTAAATTTACATGTAATTCTAACCTATTCTAGAGAAATGATCTTTTACATTGGTAACATCTTTAGCACTGCACTCCATAAATATGGCATTAGCATAATTCTTCAGTCTTCACCTTTTGAAGCAGTAACCTAATGATGTCAAATACATGTACATTATGAATGCAAATTCACTCCTAGTCTCTCTGTTACTGCCTGTATTAAGGTAGTGATTTTTCAAAGTGTACTCTTATTCTTAATCCATAAGCACTCTATGTGTATGTGTATAATGTACCGTATAGCACAAAATTTTCGAAGACTGTAAATTTTGTGAATTTTTCTAAAAATCTAATTTGCGGATTTAATTTTCACAAATTAATGCTGTCTGTCATCTTGTACCATAATAATTTGATTTTTGCAAATCTTCAAAAAAATCGTGAAATCCACATAATTTACAGCTCTCAAAAATTTTTCACTATACGGTACTATATTTATACATGTGCATAAAAAATTTTAGTCAAAATCAGCTCAAACTTTTTACACAGCATTAGGACATCAATATGTATCAGAAAATGCAATAAAATTTGGGGTGATTTCAGAGACAATTTTTAGAAAAAACCATGGGCTATTATAGCCTTGGATATTTTTTTAAATTGGCCAATTTTTAAAAATGGCCGTAACTTGAAAAATTTAAGTTGAGATCAGCTCAAACTTTCTACGCAGCATAAGGACATCAATATGTATCAGAAAATTTAATAAAAATTTGGGATAATTTTTCGGGGGCCATTTTTTTGGAAAAAACCATGGGCTATAAAATAGCATATTATTTTTAAAAATAGCTGTAGCTCCAAAACTTTTAATTGGACTCAACCCAAACAGCCTAAGGACATCAATGGGCCATTTTCTAAGCAATTCTCCAAAGCTACATGTAAACAGCTCCTAGTCTTTATTGTGTCTGGGGCTCTTACCTGTCTTGATTCTGATATGTCTAGTTTATTGCCAGCAACAATCCAGCT